CTGGCCAAACAGAGACATCCGGTCGTCATCGAGCTAAAGGCCGAGGCAATTCCTGTGAGGGTGAGACAGTACCCCATTAGCCAGGAGGCTCGGCGGGGGATCACTCCCCACATTCGACGGCTCATGGATGCCGGAATTCTCAGGCGGTGCCAATCCCCTTGGAACATCCCCTTACTGCCGGTGAAGAAGCCAGGGGGGACAGATTACAGGCCTGTCCAAGACCTGCGAGAAGTCAACAAGCGGGTGAGTGACATACACCCCACTGTCCCTAACCCGTATACCCTCCTGAGCAGTTTACTGCCTGAGTACACTTGGTACACTGTGTTGGACTTAAAAGATACTTTTTTCAGCCTACCGCTGACGGCCCAGAGCCAGGAGATATTTGCCTTTGAGTGGACTGAGGGGGAAGGCCAACCGGTAGTACAATTAACTTGGACCCGCCTCCCACAGGGGTTCAAGAACTCCCCTACCTTGTTTAATGAGGCTCTGAGTGAGGACCTCTATGAATATCGGGCTTGCCACCCAGAGGTCATTCTGCTACAATACGTAGATGACCTTATGTTGGCTGGAACCACGGAGGAGGCATGCAGCCGTGCCACCGGGGACCTCTTACAGACCCTAGGCACCTTGGGGTATCGCGCTAGTGCAAAGAAGGCGCAAATAGCCCGGCAAGAGGTCATCTATTTGGGGTATAAGATCAGGCAGGGGCAACGGTGGCTAACCCAGGCCATGAAGGAAACAATATTGCAGATACCAGAGCCCAAGACCCCCCGCCAGGTGAGGGAGTTTCTGGGGACTGTTGGGTACTGCAGACTGTGGATCATGGGGTTTGCTGAGAAGGCCCGGCCCTTGTATGAGGGAAGTAAAGAGACCCCAAACTGGACTTGGACTGAGCCAATGAAACAGGCTTTCCAGACACTCAGACGGGCCCTACTAGAAGCCCCAGCCCTTGCCCTGCCTAACCCAAATAAGCCGTTCCAGCTGTTTGTAGATGAGAAGCAAGGAATAGGAAAGGGGTCTTGACGCAGCAATGGGGACCGTGGAAGCGGCCGGTAGCATACCTTTCGAAGCGATTGGACCCGGTGGCCGCTGGGTGGCCCCCTTGCCTTCGCATCATTGCAGCCACTGCCCTCCTCGTCCGCGACACCGACAAGTTGACGTTTGGACAGCAACTCTCGGTTTTCACCCCCCACGCCATAGAAGGGGTTTTGAAGCAGCCGCCGGGTAAGTGGATCCCCAATGCCCGCTTGACACATTACCAGGCCCTGCTGCACGATGCCCCACGGGTGTGTTTTCAGACCCCTTGCTTCCTGAATCCAGCCACGCTCCTACCTAACCCAGAGAAAGACCGCCCTCTCCATGATTGCAGTGAGATACTGGCTGAGGCCCTGGCGGCACGAAAAGACTTAACTGATGTACCGCTAAGCAACAGTGAGCTAGTATGCTTCACCGATGGGAGCAGCTATGTAAGAGATGGGCAACAGAAGGCGGGGGCCGCCATAGTTGATGAGTCAGGGCAGACGATATGGGCTGAGACACTTCCCCCAAACACTTCTGCGCAGAAAGCAGAACTGATTGCCCTAATACAGGCTCTGGAGCAAGCCAAAGGGAAGAGAGTCACCATTTTCACTGACAGCCGATATGCTTTCAGCACTGCCCATATTCAAGATCCCATATACCAAGAAAGGGGATTTCGGACAGCTGAGGGAAAAGAGGTCAAAAATTTGCCCGAGATTCGCAGGCTCCTGGAAGCTGTCCAATTGCCTCGGGCAGTAGCTATAGTACATGTCCCCGGTCACCAGAAAGGAGAGGACCCAAAGGCACGGGGCAATCGTGCCGCTGATGCGGCTGCTCGAGAAGCAGCTAGCGGGGACTATGCCACCCCCATATTGGCCATGGGACTTCCACCTCCTGGTATGGGGACCTTGCCACCAGTTCCCGAATATTCCCTCCCTGATCTCGCCTGGATCAACAAGGATACCACCCTCCAGAAGGATGACCAAGATGGATGGTACCGAGACCAAAACAACAACCTGATGTTGCCTGCCACCCTGGGTCGTCACCTGTGTGAACACCTGCACGCAACTACACACTTGGGAGAAAGAAAGACCCTAACACTTCTCCAGACGGCCTGCCTGAGGTTCCCTCGACAAAATGCAACTGTACGAGAGATAATTCAAGCCTGCAAAGCTTGCCAGCTGATGAAGGCAGAGAAGAAGCAGCACTCGGGAACGAGGTACCGAGGGGAAAAGCCAGGGCGACACTGGGAGATAGATTTCACTGAGGTAAGGCCAGGCAAGTACGGGTACCGCTATCTGTTGTTTCTGGTAGACACCTTCTCGGGGTGGGTGGAAGCTTTCCCCACTAAGGGAGAGACAGCAATAGTGGTTGCTAAAAAGATCTTAGAGGAAATAGTGCCTAGGTATGGGCTGCCAGTGACTATGGGCTCTGATAACGGACCTGCCTTTGTGAGCCAGATTGTACAAGGGCTGGCCCAAGCTCTGGGGACGAAATGGAAGTTACATTGCGAATATAATCCCCAGAGCTCAGGACAGGTTGAGAGAATGAATCGGACCCTAAAAGAAACTTTGACAAAGTTGGCAATAGAGACTGGCGGGGACTGGGTGACCCTCCTCCCCTTTGCACTCTTTCGGGCGCGTAACACCCCTTATAAGCTGAATCTTACCCCTTTTGAGATTCTGTATGGAAGACCCCCTCCTGTGTATCCTATTTTCGAAGGAAAATGCCTGCCACCCCCTACTTTGGGACAATTCCAGCAAACAGTGATGGCATTAAGTAAGGTGCATAACCATGTTTGGAAATTGATTCGAGAGGTATATGAGGGCCAGAATAAGAGGGCCCTCCCCTCACATAATATTGGCCCAGGTGATTGGGTTTGGGTAAAATGACACCAATCTAAAGTATTAGAACCTAGATGGAAAGGCCCTTATGTTGTTCTCCTTACCACTCCTACCGCTGTCAAGGTCGACGGGATTGGACCCTGGGTTCACTGCAATCACGTGCGGCAAGCCACACCGGAAGAACAGGAAAAAGTGCGAGCAGAATGGAAGGCGAGTCCTCACCCATCAAATCCTTTGAAACTGAAACTCGTCCGCCGGGAGGCCTCCTAATTCTCCTACTGATGGCAGCTCTCATCGACCCAGGAGCGACCAGTCACAACCCCCATCAACCTGCTAAGATCACCTGGAAACTCAACGACGGGCAAACTCATGAGCTGCTCAATGAGACCTCAGGAATCCACCCTCCGAACACCTGGTGGCCGGACCTGAACTTCGACCTCTCAAGCCTCTTCGCAAAGCAGGACGGTCTCCACGATAAGTACTATAGGGATGGGATAAAAAACCATAGGTTGGGGTTCTGGGCGTGCCCGGGCTATGTAAGAAATAACTGGAAAGCCTGTGGTGGCATAGAAAGCTATTATTGCAGGAGCTGGAGTTGTGTGACCTCTTGTGATGGACCTCAGAGGTGGGATGTTGGAAACAGAGATCTAGTTAGCTTCACCTTCAAGGACCGTAGACACCAGGGGCCTCAGGTTCGAGTACAATTTAACCAGGAACGGGCGAAAAAGGAAAACCGCTGGTCCTCGGGACTGACTTGGGGTTTTCAGCTTCACGTAAATTGGCCCGGCCCCTACCCAGGCGAGCTTTTAATCATTAAACAGGTTATTGAGCCGGTGCAGGTACATAGTTTAGGTCCCAATCTGGTCAAAACATTACAGGGCCACAAGGAGACCCCCAAGCCAACCACCTCCAGACCAAGCTCGCCGGGAACATTTAACATCTCCTCTACCCCGAGCCTCAGAGACAAACTGACGGAAACCCCTGGCCCTCTGGCTGTTACCATTAGCTCAGCAATTCAGGACCCCCTATGGGCCTTAGTGAATGCAGCCTTTACGGTCTTAAACCACACCTAATGCGACCCAATCCTGCTGGCTTTGTTATAATCCTCACCCCCCCTTCTATGAGGCCATAGGCCTTAATGTCTCTTACCCCTTGTCTTCAGGCCAGAACCCACCCCAATGCCGATGGGAAGAACGCAGGTTGGCCTCTCAATGAATGAAGTTTGGGGACAGGGGCTCTGTTTGGGCACAGTGCCACGTGATAAAACTCCCCTCTGTGCCCGGACTATTAGTAACCTACGCTTACACGGCAAAAATTGGATTGTGCCAGAGGCTGGGGGTTGGTGGATTTGTTCACATACTGGGCTAACCCCATGTTTGAATGTGAAGGTTTTTAACCAGAGTCAAGAATTCTGTGTCCTGGTTGCTGTAATGCCAAAAATCTTATACCACTCTGAAGAGGTTATGTACTCACATTGGGACCAGGAAATGCTAAGACAAAAGAGAGAGCCAGTCAGTGCGATCACCATGGCAGCCTTGTTCAGTCTTGGGCTGGCAGGAACAGGGACAGGAATAGCTTCACTATCTCTGCAAGGCCAAGGGTTTTCCTCCCTACGAGCCGCTATAGATGAGGATCTAACTCGCATAGAAGAATCAATCAGCCACTTAGAGAAGTCTCTGACTTCCTTGTCTGAGGTGGTCTTGCAGAACAGGAGAGGATTAGACTTGGTTTTTCTTCAGCAGGGTGGGGTCTGCGCGGCTCTGGGAGAAGAATGTTGTTTCTGTGCAGACCATACAGGAGTGGTAAGAGAATCTATGGCAAAAGCGAGAGAGGGACTGGCGCAACGCAAGAGGGAACGGGAGGCCCAACAGGGGTGGTTTGAGTCTTGGTTTCAACGCTCCCCCTGGCTGAGCACCTTCGTTTCCACCCTCCTGGGCCCACTTATAGTGCTATTATTAACACTCACGTTTGGCCCTTGTATTTTAAACCGGCTAATGTCATTTATTAAAGAACGTCTAAATACCATTCAGATTATGGTATTGAGGCAACAATATCAGATGGTAGCCCAGGGTGAAGAGAAAGATTCCTCTACAGGAACAACAAGACAGGGGGGAATGTGAGGCTGCCAGGGCTAACACCATGACAGGCGGCCTGGACCTAAGTTTCGGCTTCCCCCGAAATGATAAGATTCCCTACCCCCATCAGGTAACCTGGAGCCAGCCAATATGCGCCCAGGAAGAAACAAAGGAAGAGCTGAAAAGCCCGCGAATGCCCAGGTTTGAAAAAGCCCGCGAAAGTTTGTACCAATAAAATTGCTTTGCAAACATGTAGCCAATCCGCTTAAGCCAGCTACTAATCGCTTATGCATACCTTATAAATTTGGATAACGGCCTCTGCTCAAGGCTTTTCTGACCTTGCGCCACTGTGTTGGTTGCAGCAGAAAGCCCTGACTCGAGTCAGTAATAAAACTTCCCTTTTTGTAAATTGCATTGTCTTGGAAGTTCTCTCTTCCCGCTCTGGGATTCGGACATCGGGCAGAACACTCTGATTTTCTATAAACCCTGGATCCCAACAGGGGCACCCTGTGGAAATGAAACACTTAATGATATGTCCTACTTTCAGAAAGATTTCAGTGAGGGCAGCTCTGTTCTGAGTGATGCTCTGAGTTAATCTGCTGGATGAAGAATCTATTCCCAGCATTGAGATCATTAGAGGAAAGGTTTGAACAGAGGAGCAGGCTAGGGAAACTGGATGGATTCCCAGATTCTACTGAGTCAAGTTTTTCCAATTCTGCTTCATCATGTTGTTTGAAATAAATTCTCAGAACATAAGATGCTGCCACACTTTTTTAAAAAGTCTCAAAGTCCCATATAAATGTTATTTGACTGATCAGCTTCTTGAAGATGGTCAGAGCTTTTTTCCTTGCAATCAGGGAGGAAATAATCAAGAGTTGATGCTGGTTAAATGGGGAATATTTTAGAAATTCCATAAATAGGATTTTTAGCATTCAATCTATGCCATTTTAGGATGGCCAAATATCATCTCACTTGCTTTCTTTCTCACTCCATGAATGAGCTAGACATCAAATTTATATAGTAAAATGACAGGTCTCCCCAGTGGTTTGAGGAGGAATGAAAACTATATCTCATAGCCCAGCACAGTTGCTTGGATGGATAACAATCTGTGTAAGCAGATAAAAGAACAGTTTTACCTTCAACAAAAATACTATTTAGAAAGAGTTGTATACAGGTAAGCATGTATAGATGACTAAAAGAGTTCCTCAAGCATTTATTGAAAACCTACTTACTATGCGCTGCAACTGTGCTAAGTGTTGCATGCATGCATGCTAAGTCGCTTCAGTCATGCCAAACTCTTTACGACCCTTTGGATTGTAGTGCACCAGGCCCTTCTGTCCATGGGATTCTCTAGGCAAGATTACTGAAGTGGACTGCCATGCCCTCCTCCAGGGGATCTTCCCAACCCAGGGATAGAACCCAGTCTCCTACATTGGCAGTTGAGTTCTTTACCACTAATTCCACCTGGGAAGCCTGTGCTAAGTATTAGGGATACAGAAACAGATCTGGCATGGTTCCTGCTTTCATGAGGTTCAGTCTGATAGAAAAAAGGTCAAGGATCTTGGTTGCAGACAATATGATCCACTCTAGATATCTTAAGCTGAAAGGGGTTAATTAAGGTTTATAAACATCTCACAGAATCTTTGGAAAGAAAGAAGCTTCGGGCTGGGCTTCCAAGACTCCACCAAAATAGCTTTTGCTAAAAGACAGGCTATCACTGACACAGACAAGAAGCTCTGAATTGGAAAACCATGGCCACCACTGCTGGCTCTCTCACCACATCACATCTGTCATTATTTGAAGCAGTAGAATGAATGGCCCATGTTCTGCCTCTTGCCCCATGAAAGTTAGATCCGAATCCAAGTCTTGCAGGAGCGTATCTGACTGGCAGGTCATAAATCAGTAGCTGTATTCTACTGTAAGAGTTTGGGAAATGTAAGACATTCTTTAATGAAACTTTGAGATTTATACCATGGGGAATCAGCAGAATATGGAGAAACAGTTCAAAAGATCTGAGGTCATTGTAAATGAGTCACTCACTAGGACGACTGAATAAACCACGACAGTACAAGGGGCAAACATGTGACTGATGCATACCCACAATGCACTGGGGCTCTAGAGAAACTGAGATGACCAGGCATGATGGCGGCAGCCGGAAGCTCATCTGCTGAACTGGGCTTTGACTGAGCAGGACTTGGCCAAGCACAGAAGCACAGGGAGAAAACCTTTCAGTGGTGTTCAGTATTCCAAAAACTATTTCCGTGAATGTGAACCAATGGGTTTTGTTCTATAAAATGAGAAGCAGCAGAGAGTTGGAGGACCCACACCCGTCCCTCATGGACCTCAGTATAGCGTCTCACTAGAAAACTTGAGTGTTCCTGACATGGACCTGACTAATTTCTGGGACCTGACTAATGGTACTGGGCTTAGGGAGATGCCAAAGATGGCTTTATTGTCTTCTGACCTGTGGAGTGGGTGACTTCCGTGGAGTGGCTGCTGGCCCAAGAACAGCTAATCCATATGTTGGCCTGTAATCTCCAAACTGACCCAGAGCAGAACATGTTCCAGGCAGAGACTAGTGACCAGCTGCTGAAATCTGAATATCTCTTTGCCAGGATTCAAACGGGGGAAATGAGATAATTTATCAGTGGAGAAATAGAACTAATGCCATATTCAGCCTCTGTACCCTGACATCGAATTAAATCTCAGAGACAGAGTTTTGGGGTGCCTCAGTGGTAAAGAATCCATCTGCCAATGCAGGAGATACAGGTTCGATCTCTGGGACGGGAAGATCCCCTGGAAAGGAAATGGCAACCCACTCCAGTATTTCTTGCCTGGGAAATCCCATGGACAGTGGAGCCTCACAGGCTACAGCCCATGGGGTCACAAGAGAGTTGGACATGACTTAGAGACTAAGCTACAACAATAAGAAAAGAATAGCAGTATTGCTTTGTCAAGCAAATGTGGCCACAGCAGGCTAATTCTCTCAGAACTATGTAGCGAGGAGTTTTATTATAATGGTTCAAAGAGGAGGCTGTGATCAGCTCATGGACATTTTTCTGAGGGGTTGGTTGGTGAGGTAAGTGGGAGACAGCATCATCAACCTCCTGGTTCCAACTAGTCTGAAGTCCATAGGCTGATGGGCAGCATACAGTTAACTTCTTCTACCTGGTGGCAGTTTCAGTATCTGCAGAACTGCTCAAAGATTTGTTCTGTGTGCTCCTTGAGGGGGAAAGAGGATCCCGCCCCAAGGCTGCACTATTGTTTCTTGACTGCCTCTCCCTAGTCTCTGCATCCCCTCCCTCCCTAATTAGCATCTGTTTGAACCTGCCCATTGGAACTCAGGAAGGTCATGGAGGCTGAAGGAAGCCTATTTTCTGTAATCAGGAGACAGAGGGACACAGAAAGGCTTTGTGCCCAGGAGCCCCACAGTCTCAGAACCAGAAGTAGAAAAGATTCGTCTGCAAATCACATAGCTGGGACTGAGAGGCCCAGGGAAAACCCAAGTTAGCGTAAAGAAAAGACACAAAATATGCAAGGTATCGGCTCTCCTGGCCGGAGGGCAGGGGAATTCAAGGGAAAGGCAGGAATAACAGACCCCGAGGCAGAGTGGGGATGTCGGTAAAGGCAGAGGATCTGGAAACTCCTGCTGAGGAAGTGATGAGAAGACCCAGTCTCAAGAGCTGTGCTGGACCCTTCCTTGTCCTGAGCTGCCTTCCAGTGTCTGCAAGATTTGGCTGTGTGGCTGGGCCTGAGCTACTGGGAGGTCCCGTCTTTCTAATTCCCACCTGCATCCTTTCCTGGCCATCCTGGGAGGTCGCTTCCCAGCATCTCTGTTCCTTGCATCAACGAACACAGTGGAAGCTGAAAGGTCTGGAACATGGCCCATGCAGCATAGAAGGGTAAAAAGATTTTTCTTCAAATGAAAAAGGAAGTCAGAGTTAAATATTAATATTACACTTAGTTTTAACTATATTGAATTGGTACCTCTGTGTTTATCTGTACCAAAATGCTGTATCATGTTTATTGAGTTGACATTAAAATGTTACTAACCAGGAGTCAAATAACGTGTGCTGTGATCTCATTCTCCACTCAACTATCCTTAGACCCCTTGCTTTTTCTGGAGAGGATATTTGAGTGTATAAGGGAGGTGGGGTCACCAGTAAAGTAGAGAGCAGGAAGGCATGTTTTATTCTATAATTGTAAGGGAAACCTTCTTGATATTCACAACAATACAGTCCATCTTTCTTACCCTCAGCCTTTAGTGAAATGCTGAACACACATCTGGTGCTCTTAAATGCACATTGTTTGATAATGTTTAAAATCAAAGGACTTTCAAACAGAAGTTTTTTCTTCTGTGTGAAATTAGATGGGAGAAGGAAAGGCTCCAGGTTACTGTTCTAAACAGTGCAGCCTTATCCCATGCCTGGCCCTTTTTCCTTGGCAGAGAGTGTGCATTGATCCTCTGCCATGACTGAGCTCAGTCTGGCTGCCTGGCTCCCACTGTTCCCCAGAACAGAGGGCGTGCGGGTCCTGGTGGAAAGCTGAGAAGTGCACATGGGCAACCAGGAGAGACGAGACCCCTCTCCCTGGAGGAATCAGAGCCCAAGGGACAGAGGAGAATGGGGCAAGCGCTGACCCAGCAGGAGTTAGAGAGAATGTGGAGCTGGGCAGAGTTATTTTTTGCATTCGTTCGTTCATTCAGCAGGAAGTAAAAGGCATCATCTCTGTTTTGAGTTGTTAAAAAACAGGGATCTGGCCATCGGGCTGATCTATATGAAGGGATAGCGAGGAAGAGTCTGGCCTAGAGAAAGGGTGGGGGGATTGTGCTATGAGATGACGCCTGGTGGGCTTGCTCTGTTCGTGAACAGGCTTCCGCATATGTGAGAGCAGCCCGTGAGAGAGAGGTGAGTGGCAAACAACACAGCAAATAGGTACCAAGGATCCCAAATGGAAGGCAGTTAGGACATGTCAGTAACCGTCATCATTATTAGCTATAGGCTATGTTTTATTGAGCACTTCCTCTGTGCTAGTCACTGTGCCAAGTACTCTGTACTTTTCTCACAACCACCCTATGAGGCGGGGATTTAGCAGGGGAGGGGCCCTGGGCCAAGGGAGGTGAGGCCACAAGTCAGCCTGCCAACGCTCAGCAGGAGTCTCCCAGGTCGGGCAGGCTCCCGTGCACCCCCCGGGCCCACGGGCCTTTACAAGCACAGCTGGTTCTGATCCCCACTATCTGGTGAAAACAGCTACACTTTGAATATGCTATGGTTACAGATGGGCTTCCCTGATTGTCACAGAGCCTGGGATCAAGGGCAGCAGCAGCTGGGCTGGACGGGAAGCACAGCACAGTTTTCTGAGACCTCAGCTCCCATCGTCAGTCTGTGCAAGATGTTTTGAATGTTGTGGCTTTGAATTGCATTCAGCCCATCAACGCAACGCAGGGGGTTGAGGAGGAGCCTAAAACAAGCAAAGCTGTTCTAACTTCGCAGGATTCAGAGGCTGCCTTTCAACAGTTCCATTCCTGAAATGAAAGACAAAGTGACAGAGAAGGCTGGGGAAATGAAGACTCACGTTGCTGAACAGGACACGGTCAAGTAGCAGAAAATTAAAGGGCTCGATGTTAATTACACCAGAGTTCCCAACCTTTTTGGCACCAGGGATTGGTTTCGTGGAAGACACTTTTTCCGTGGACCATGGGGTGGTGGGGGAGTGGGGAGAGATGGCTCTGGGATGATTCAAGCTCTTTACATTTATTGTGCACTTTATTTCTGATCTATTGCTGCTGCTGATCTGACAGGAAGTATCAGTCCGTGGCCCAGAGGTTGGGGACCCCTGAATTGCACAAAGGAGCATCCTGCACTGGGAGCAGAAGGAAGCAGGGGGATGACCCCCTTGGAGGGACACAAGTCTTAGAGATGTGCATGGATGCAGTTGGTTTTACCTTTAATGCTGACCACTTCACTGAACTTTTCTTTTCTGCCATATTCTATTCCATAGGGATATTTTATTGAATGCCCACTGTGAAGAAACAGGTATATTTAAATAAAATTTAACATTAATGTGACAACTGATCTTTAAACTGGGAACTCAAGGGCCAGTTTATCTTGGTCAGTCATATTGGCATTCAAATGCCAATTTATTTCTGTGCTTTTTCATTCTCCTTCTCTCAAAGTCCTATCTAACTAACCCTCTTTGCTAGGATTTCTTATCTGCTGCTCCTGCATCCCAGATGTGTTCATCCTTTCCGTGGCAGTTTCCATTGCGAGGGTGGCAAAGGTGACTCTGGCCCAGATCTCCTTTCCTAGAAGCCCAAGAGGTTAGAACAGGATTCAGACGGAATGTCGTGGGCATTGAGCAAAGGGATGGTCAGAGTGGACTTCCTAGAGGGGGAGCTGATCATGTAGGGGATTATCCAGGGCAGGAAGATCAAATGTAAGCGCAGGAGGAGAGGAACGGGAGAAGAGTGGGGAACTTGGTGGGAGGGTGAGGGGAACAAGAGTTCAGGGAGATGAGCATTTCAGGGCTGCCACTTGCTCTGGCCATTGGATTTTTTTGTTGTTTTTTGGCTGCACCACACAGCTTGCAGAGCCTTAGCTCCCCCACCAGGGATCGAACCCATGGCTCCTGCAGTGGAAGTGCGGAGTCCTAACCACTGCACCCCCAGGGAATTCCCTTGGCCATTGTATTGTGACTGTGCACTTGGGCCTCTGAGGACAGAGGGGTCAACAAAATCTTTCTCCCAAGTCTTTCCCAAATGGAGCTCCACCAGACTGCTTCTTGCTTTTTTTGGTCTTTCCTAGTCGCATCCACACATTTGTTTTCTAAAGTTCTTAGCAATTTGCTGTAGATTGCAGGCCACGCAGCACATCTGATTTTCAGACTCAGCAGGTCTGGGGGAACCATGATGTGCTTTTCTGACAAGTTGATCCTGCTCATCTGGGACACACTTGGAGAAGCACTGCTCTGAAGTCTCCTTAAAGAGGATAAAGGATCAACAAAGGGTCCAAAGAAAAATTATCTTTGTTTTGTCAAGATAATAAATTTATTAGTCTTTTTAAAGAAATCTCATGGAATTTGATGAGCCAACTGAAGTTCCAGGACCTCCTAATCCCACCTCCAAATTCTCAGACTTCAGATGACCAAGTTGGACCTAGAGCTCATCTCCCAAGTGGAGAAGAACACCTGTTGGCCGGAGCCTCTGAGCCAAATGGGGCAGGATATGGGCGCCCTGGAGTGCAGCCGTGCTCCGCAGCCGCTGTACTGGGACATCCCCATCCGTCCACGGGGCATTGGTGGTAAACTTGGACTTAAACACCTCCAGCACCCAGGGGGCCAGGGCAGGGGCATCAAAGAAGTTGCCAGAAGCAGTGTTGTGTCTGGGCAGCAAGGCCGCGCTGGCTCCTGAGTGGGGCCGATGCGGGCCCTGTGAGCCCGTCTGGAAACTTGCCTGCTGCCCGCCGCGGGGAGCCCTGCCCTCGGTCAGCTTGCTCTGCTCCTGTCCGCACGTTCTCCCGGGTCCCTCCGCGCACGTTCTCCCGGGTCCCTCCGCGCACGTTCTCCCGGGTCCCTCCGCGCACGTTCTCCCGGGTCCCTCCGCCTCCGGGACTGCTCCCCGCGGATCTGATTTTCCTTCTGTGGTTGTTCAAGACAAGAAAGAATCCCTTCACAAAAACCTCCCAGAAGCATAGGAAGCGAGGGCCATCTGAGAAATCGTATCTGACAAGTCACATGATAAAAGAAAGTCTCTGAAATGTCTGATGAGGTGGTCACTTCCTTCATGTTTACCACAGAGAAGGTTCTCTAAAGTTGTGAGGTCCTCTCTTTCTCCAGTAAGTTCATGAATCTCCCACACAGGTTTTATTTGGAGCAAATGGGTAAAGGAGGGGGAGGGGAGGGCTTGGGAAGAAAGTTCCTTTAGAAATCATATTTTGAAAAGATAAGAAAACCACTAAGTATGTAGGTTATCTTGTTAGTCGTCCTTCTCTCCCGTGGTGGAATTCTGTGCAGTTTTTTTTTTCTTCCTGGCTCTCCTGTGTGTGTGTGTGTGTGTGTGTGTGTGTGTGTGTGTGTATTTTGCAGTCAGTTAAAAATAAAAAAGCATGTTTTTAAAGACAGTTTCGGGTGCCAGTGTCTTTGGGGTACAGTGCGTGTAGCAGCCCAAACCTGCAGGCAGGAGGTGGTGAGAAAAGAAATTTCAAATAGGAAAAGAGGGCCCAGGGCAGAGCCATCCAGAAGAAATGCATGCCTGCAGGTTCCTCAGACGAAACACAAAACATGTCCAATTCTACTTTTGAAATGAGAACTGGCCTTTAGTCCAGGAGAGGCAGGTGTGGATTGTGAAGTTTTGGGGGACTTGGAGGGTGGTGGGCTGGAAGTGCCCTCTGACCCCCAAGCTGCCCTCTTCTCCTCTGGAAAGGATTGGGTTTCTTTTCCTTCTCTCATCTTCTTCTTCTGTCCTTTTTGGGTCTCTCCATAAGGAGGAAGCGCACCATTCAGTAAAGCCCGCCTTCCTTCGTGTCCTGCCCTTTCCTCTTGGGCTCATCCCTCGCATGTCCCAGACCCGGCTCCATGCCCCTGGGAGACGATGCTCGTCCCTGACTCACCTTCTCAACTCGCAGACATCCCCAAGAAAGATGTAGGAAGAGGGAGGATATAAAATGTAGTGTTTCACACACACAGCACATTTGGAAAATGCTAGAGTAAATCTAAGGAAGGAAAATCAGTAGCCCATAAGTAGGGTGACCAGACAGCCTAGTCTGTCCAGCACAGTCTTGATTTATACCTGATACTCTGGCTCCATTACAATCAGCCCTCATATTCACTCTCAAGAGGGTCCCAACAGGAATGCCAAATTATATGATCACCTCCAGTGAGCTGGATGGAAGATTCCGTGTTGTTTCATGTTGAATGGTGAAACACCAATCAGATCTTCTCTTAGAGGGTTGTGATTTTGAGACCTAGGAAAAAAGACATCAGGAAAAAAGACAAACAGAAGCAGAAGCTGGAGTGGCGGAGAGCGGGAGGCTGAGTCCTGAGTCTGGTGGGTCACTAGAGGAGCAGCAGAGGTGTGCTTTCCTAAGACTGATAGGGGCTGGAGGGTGGTGGTGTGTGAGGAAGACCTGGCACTTCACATGCTCTGACTCCCCTGACAATTGGGCTGCTGGGATGCCTTCCAGGAGAACTTACCTCCTGGGTTGCTTGCACGAGTCCCATCCTCAGAGCTCATCTGAGCACATCTGAACAGACCATGGTGGCCTTTCTCAGTGTGGTTCTCAACTCTGGCTGCACATGAGAATCACCCTCTATCCCCTGCCCCTGCTTTTTGATTTACAAGAAAAAAATGTCTCAAAAGTATTTTGAAACCAGGTTTCAAAAACCTGCTTTACTCTAAATGAAGAGATTATAGCATCTTTTAATATATTCTTTTTGGTTGTTTATCGTATTTTCCAACACTTCTGTGGTGAGCAAATATTTCTTATGTAACAAGAAAGTAATAGTTATTTTAAAATGAGGAAGTAGAAATAAACCCTTACATTTATGGTCCATTTATCATCAATGAGAGTGGCAAAATAATTCAATAGAGGGAAAGAATAGTCCTTTCAACAACAGATTCTGGGGCAACTGGATATCCACAAGCACTGGAATGAAGTTGGATCCCTACCTCACACCATACACAAAAATGTACTTCACTTAAAATGGATCATAGACCTAAATGTAACAGCTAAAGCTACAAAACTCTTAGCAGAACACGTAAACATAACCTTTCATTGTTGTTCATTCACTAAGTCGTGTCTGACTCTGAAACCTATGGACTGCAATATCCCAAGATTTCCTGTTCTTCACTATCGCCCAGAGTTTGCTAAAATTCATGTCCACTGAGTTGATGATGACATCCAACCATCTCATCCTCTGTTGCCACCTTCTCTTCCTGCCCTCAATCTCTCCCAGCATCAGGGTCTTTTCCACTGAGTTGGTTCTCACATCACGTGGCCAAAGGATTGGAGCTTCAAATTCAGCATCAGTCCTTCCAATGAATTTTCAGGGTTGATTTCCTTTAGGATTGACTGGTTTGAACTCCTTGCTGTCCAAAAGACTCTCAAGAGTCTTCTTTTAGCACCACAGTTAGAAAGCATCAATTCTTTGGTGTGCAGCCTTCTTTATGGTCTAACTCTCACATCTGCACATGACTACTGGAAAAAACATAGCTTTGACCATATGGAGATTTGTGGGCAAAGTAATATCTCTGCTTTTTAATTTGCTGTCTAGGTCTGTCATAGCTTTTCTTCCAAGGAGCAAGCATCTTTTAATTTCATGACTGCAGTCACTGCCTACAATTATTCTGGAGCTCAAGAAGATAAAATCTGTTACTGTTGTCACTTTTCCCCCATCTATTTGCCATGAAGTGATGCAACTGGATGCCATAATCTTAGATTTGGAAGTTGAGTTTTAAGTGTTTTTACTTTCTTCTTTCACCCTCATCAAGAGATTCTTTAGTTCCTCTTCACTTTTTGCCATTAGAGTGATATCATCTGCATATCTGAGGTTGTTGATACTCCTCCCAGCAATCTTGATTCCAGCTTGTGATCTATCCAGTCCTGGATTTTGCATGATGTACTATGCAGAGAAGTTAAATAAGCAGGGTGACAATATACTGCCTTGACGTATTCCTTTCCCAATTTGGAACCAGTCTACTTTTCCATGTCTGCTTCTAACTGTTGCTTCCTGACCTGCATACAGATTTCTCAGGAAGCAGGTCAAGTGGTCTGGTATTCCCATCTCCTTAAGAATTTTCCACAGTTTGTTGTGACCCACACAGTCAAAGGCTTTAGCATAGTCAATGAAGCAGAAGTAGATGCTTTTCTGGAATTCCTTTGCTTTTTTAATGAACTGATGAAAGTTGGCAATTTGACCTCTGGTTTCACTGCCTTTTCTAAAGCCAGCTTATACATCTGTAAGTTCTCAGTTCACATATACTGAAGCCTAGCTTGAAGGATTTTGAACATTTCCATGCTAGCATGTGTAGTTGTACAGTAGTTTGAACATTCTTTGTCATTGCCTTTCTTTGGGATTGGAATGAAAACTCAGCTTTTATAGTCCTGTGCCCATTGCTGAGTTTTGCATATTTGCTAGCATATTGAGTGCAGCACTTTAATCGCATCATCTTTTAGGATTTTAAATAGCTTAGCTGGAATTCCATCACTTTGTTCATAGTAATACTTCCCAAGACCCACTTGACTTCACACTCCAGGATATTTGGCTCTAGGCAAGTGACCACATCATCAAGGTTATCCGGGTCATTAAGACATTTTTTGTGAGGTTCCTTTGTGTATTCTTGCCACATCTTCTTGATATCTTCTGCTTCTGTTAGGTCCTTGCTGTTTTTGTCCTTTACTGAGCCCATATTCGCAGGAAATATTTCCTTGGTATCGCCAATTTTCTTGAAGAGATCGCTAGTCTTTCTCATTGTTTTGTTTTCATTTCTTTGCATTGTTCACTTAGGAAGTCCACTTATCTCTCCTTACTGTTCTTTGGAACTCTGCATTCAGTTGGGTATATCTTTCCCTTTCTCCTTTGCCTTTCACTTCTCTTCTTTTCTCAGCTATTTGTAAGGGCTCCTCAGACACCATTTCCATGACACTGGGTTCAGCAGTGATCTATTACATACAACACATATAGTATGTTTGCATGCTAAATCACTTCAGGTGTGTCCAACTCTTTGCGACCCTGTAGACTATAGCCTGCCAGGCTCCTCTCTCCATGGGACTCTCCAGGCAAGAATACTGGAGTGGGTTGCCATGCCCTCCTCCAGGGGAATCTTCCTAACCCAGGGATCAAACCCTTGTGTCTTATGTCTCCTGTATTGGCAGACAGGTTCTTTACCACTAACACCACCTGGGAAGCCCAAGTACATAAATGATAGATCAGTTGGTAAAGAATCCTCCTGCAATGCAGGAGACCCCGGTTTGATTCCTGGGTCAGGAAGATCCACTGCAGAAGGGATAGGCTACCCACTCCAGGATTTGGGGGCTTCCCTTGTAACTCAGATGGTAAAGAATCTGCCTGCAATGCAGGAGACCCAGGTTCAATCCCTGGGTTGGGAAGATCCCTTGGAGAAGGGAAAGGCTACTCACTCTAGTATTTTGGCCTGGAGAATTCCACGGACTGTATAGTTGGATACTGCAAAGAGTTGGACAAAACTGAGCAACTTTCACTTTCACTTTCACAAAAATTGAAAACTTCTGTGCTTCAAAGGACACTATTAAAAAAGTGAAAAGACAACCCACGGAAATGGAGAAAATATTTGAAAACTGAATATCTGATAAGGGACATTTATATACAGAATATAAAAAAACTTTTACCACTCATCAATAAAAGACAATACAATTTTTAAATGGATTTTTAAAT